CGGGATCCCCCAACGCTTCTCTGTGGATGGATGACTGTCTTTCCGTGTAACTACCGTCGACGATCCATTTACAATAAAGAGGTATTTTTGTAAGAAAAATAAACGTGACTCCTGATTGTTCTTCTTCGTCCTGTACCTGTCCTGTTATCGCTGTGTCGTTGTATTGTTACAGTTCCCCGATCGTTGAACTCGTATTTTTGTGGTTTAAAGTGATCGAGAGCGTAGAAATAAAGAATAGAGGAGTGTATAGCGTGGGAGGATCGATTTCCATGGAGTATACGTAGTAAATTGTCTTTAGAGGTCTCCACGGACTGCACGGTCGCTGCGTATCGTCAGCGATCGATTGCATTTCCGGTTTCAGCAAGATGGTCGTACGTTAAAATGACAATTCGTGGCTATAGACACGGCCATAAACGACACGTCAATCAGCTTAATTGCGAACGCTTATCAGCTGCACGTCAGTCGCACTTCCGTGAGGCAGAAATACGATCCTGAACCGAATCTAGAGGCAGCGTTGCTGTACACGGTGGTCGATATACAGACCGCTAGAATAATTTAATATTCTATTCTAACTGGTATTCCGAAATTATAACAATTCAAATAGCATGAAATTAAAATGATCCTAAACAGAGCTGCATAAAAAGGCAATTCATCAAATTAGAGTTGACGTGAAATTGCATTAAAGTTACAATGAAATCAGAACTGAATTGAATTGATTAAATTTTAACTGATTCTTCATTAGGATTGTATTATATTAATGGGATGGTAGAAAGGATTCAATGATGTACACGTCTTCCAAAATTAACCCCTTTACATTAACCCTGTTGAAATAAATATCTCATTTTAAGACCACAATATTTTTAGTTTTGGATCAATGGAAGTGCTTCTGTATTGAATATAATCATAATCATATAATTTATCCTTACTATATTCATTTCTTACGAAGCCAGTTCAACCCCTCAAGGACCACGACCTTCCAAATCAAATTTTCATCTTTATATAAATATGTAGTGTATACTTTAAATAAAAATGATAATCCTATATTCCCACATCCTATATAATAATTTTCTTATGTTATTTTTATAAATAAAAACCGTCCTCCGGGGCGAATCGGTTCAAGAATCGCAGAACAAATAAAATAACTAATCGCATTCCCACTGTTAAGCAGGAATTCGCGATTAATCGATAATGTGGAGCACAACCCCAAAATGCTACAGGGATTTCCCGGCTTGCTAGAGAATTCTGGGACTCCTGAGGATTCCCCGAGGTATACACAATTCAAATACATGCACACGTGTACGGACAATAAATCTGTAACACTGCACCCTCTAGAAATATGGATTTTCAGCTATTGTGGCTCCCTCCTATACTGGACGCTGAACCTCATGACCCAACGACACAAGATAACAGTGACCATTCGATAAAAGTAATTTCTGGCTGATCTGAAACAGGTACTGTACTGATTATCATCTAAAATTTCAATACTCTTCGCTCTCATTCCCATCGCTTACAGCGCTGCAATGCAAAACCACCCTTAACCGATATGGCAGAGCATGACATGAAAATGGTAAGGGGTACTAGAACCCCTGAGAGTCTGCGACAAAATTTCCCACTGCATGCTGTGTCTATACTTCATCTGTGGTCTGTGTTCCTAGTGTCCTACATTACCCTGAGAGTAAGATTCACCTGAGACAGGATAGACATCTTATGAGATCTGTTGTCCGATGGTGAGAAAAATTTAATATCACAATAAACAAAAAACAATGTTTCCTATTTAATCATTTGTATTATTCTATACTCTCTTGGTAAATAACGGGATTGGTAAGAGAGTCATAACCTCTCAGTCTGACAAAATTATCCAATCTCTCATCGGTGCGTATCACGATTGCTGCGAGTCATCAAGATCCTACCGTACCTCGTCGGTGGCCAAAGTTCAAAGTGTTTCCGGGTTCCGCCGTTAGGGGCGCGACGTTCGATGGTCGTGACGTAATACGATATACTCGACAGTCAGAGGTCTGGGGGTCTGCTGTATGACCTTGCAGTGTTTGTAAACAGACACACGTTGTCGTTCGTAAAGTCTCGAAGATAGGAGTAAATCCGGATCGAACGAGGCCGTGTCACCGAGGATCGGACCGGGAAACTTGACGAAAAGGCCCAGCCACGGAAAGGATGGAGGTAGAGCCCGCGTGTATCGCGGAAAACGAGATGGTGAGTCGACAATTTGTGGGTGACGAGGAGGTGACAACGTGCTCGCGTGACGCAAACTGGCATGGGAGACGGGCAACGAGATTACGCGCGTTAGACGGATTACACCATGTTGTGCAAAGGGGGCGCGCGGGCAAAATGTCTGCCTTTTCTCCGCTCCGCGACTCATCGTTACGGGCTCGAAAAACAAAGGGCGTTGTTTCGTCGCTTTGACGTCAGGACCTGTAGGATC